AAAATCATCTCCGCGCTCACTTCCGAGGGTTCAGCAGCCTTTCCAGTTTTCATGTCTCTGATTGCCTTCACTACTTCTTCTCGACTCACTCTTTCAACTGGCCCTTCCACCAGATCAGCCTCCACATCCTGATCCCACTCATTCTCCTCATTCATGATTTTTTCCATATGTTCTTTCCAGACTTTACTTCTATCTCTCTCACTGAAATTCAACTTGCCATCGCTTCCTCTCATACATCTTCCCCCTGTAACATCTCTTCCATCCCCTTTCATTGCCTTCACTACTTTGTTTGGATTCTCCTTAAGCTCACTCAGCACCTTCTCATTTTCCCCCCTCATGGCCTTTGCCACCACTTTCTTTGCTTGTTTCTTCAATCTCTTATACCTAACCTTATTCGCTTCAGTACCACGCATTTTCTTGTATGCATCTTTCTTTCTTGCAAAACGTATGGAATATTGGTTGATAATACCAGAATGTTAGGAATACAATGTTTATTCCCCCATTTGACTCTGAATCTGAAATCTAAAACAGGCCATATATTTTGTCCTACAAACTTATTGTTTTTTTTGCATTCTATGATAAAAAATGTCTGATTTGAGCCAAAATTCAGAACAAATTCCTTTAACTTTTCAATCCACTTCAAAATCCAAATTTGTATTATGTGTTAATACTATGTACTGTGAGTCACTTGTTGTATACAATAATGTATATACGAGTATGTCTGTGTACATACTTATAATTAGACATGTAAGCTAGAGTAACTGACCAAGACATGGAAAAGAATGTCATCTATGTTTCATTTAAACCAATAACAAATAGTTTTGCATACACAAACCATTATGTCTTGCTTTTGTACCAAGGTGAATACTTAGAAAGGTTTGATTACAAAACCAAAAATGAGCAAGATTATGTCAGTCAAAAACGCAAACTGCGTGTACCAGGTAATACATGCTTTGTGAATATGCATGAATACTTGCAAAACAACCCAAAACAAACAGTAACCATAAAACATTGTATTACATCACTGGGATAATACCAACATCGTATTACAGCACTGGGATAATACTAACACTGTATTACATTACTGGGATAATACTAACACTGTATTACATCACTGGGATAATACCAACATCGTATTACATCACTGGGATAATACCAACATCGTATTACATCACTGGAATAATACCAACACTGTATTACATCACTGGGATAATACCAACATCGTATTACAGCACTGGGACAATACCAACACTGTATTACATCACTGGGATAATACTAACACCGTATTACATGACTGGGATAATACCAACACCGTATTACATCACTGGGATAATACCAACACTGTATTACATCACTGGGATAATACCAACACAGTATTACATCACTGGGATAATACCAACACAGTATTACATCACTGGGGTAATACCAACATCGTATTACATCACTGGGATAATACCAACACCGTATTACATCACTGGGATAATACCAACACCGTATTACATCACTGGAATAATACAAACATCGTATCACATCACTGGGATATTGCCAACACCATATTACATCACTGGAATAATACCAACATCATATTACATCACTGGGATAATACCAACACCGTATTACATCACTGGAATACTACCAACATTCTAGTACATCACTGGGATAATACTAACACTGTATTACATCACTGGGATAATATCAAAATCGTATTACATCACTGGGATAATACTAACACTGTATTACATCACTGGGATAATACCAACATCGTATTACATCACTGGGATCATACTAACACTGTATTACATCACTGGGATAATACCAACATCGTATTACATCACTGGGATCATACTAACACTGTATTACATCACTGGGATATATCAACATCGTATTACAT